GGGTTTCTTCCCTGTCTCCTGTCCACTTAAGAGGCATCTGTCACATTCGCTCTCGATGATGAGGGCTGCTGATTTTCAAACTGTGCCTGTAAAGCTGGAGGCGTGGTCCTGAGCCTCAGCAGTGGAGGAGTGGAGTGTACCCCACCCCCAAACCTGGGCCACTTCAACCTGTCCCACTGTTGCCAACAGCCTGTCTGGCTTCCGCATGAGAGTCACTTGAGCATACTTGGGAAGGCATGGCGGTAGTGGCCAGGGTAGCTTCTTAGGTCTGCCCAGTTTTAAGGCCAACAGGAAGGTGGGCAGGAGGGTTTGTTGTCCGTGTCTGGGCTGCTGCCCCCCACTCCCTAGCACCTCCCCTCGATCCAGTGACCTGAGTTCCCCACACCTGTCAAGCTGAGGGATTTTCGGGGATAATGTCGCACTGAAAGCAGGAAAATCGTGCAGAAAGTACAGCATTCCCATGTGGGCCCTCGCCCTCCCACGTGTTGGGTGCCATTGAGCCAGTTCTGACTCACAGCCACCCTCTGCACGAGAGAGCAGTGCCCCGCCCAGCCCTGCCCTGCCCTCACAGGCATTGGTGTGTGTGAGCCATTGATGCAGCCACCGTGTGTCAAGCCCATCTCATCGAGAGCCTTCCTCTTTCTGGCTGCCCCTCTGCGTGACCGAGCACCGTGCCACCTCCCTCGTACAGAAGTCCCCAAATACTGACGTCTTACGTTAGTGTGGTACATTTGTTGCACTTTATGAGTCAGCATTGGTCCATCATTTTTAGACAAAGCCCATGGTCTACAGCCCTGTGTGTCCTGAGAAGTGTGGGATGCCTTGTGTCCACCACTCGGTTGTCCTACGAAATGATTCCGCCTGCCAGAAAATGCCCCTGCTCACTTAGTCATTCCTCAGAAACATCAGTGGTTGCCAGGAACTGAGGGGAGGGATGATGCACATTTAGTTTTAACCATTCTGTTGGTCTCTCTTGCCTCCACAAAGCTCTAACCAAAGCAGTGGATGAGAGGAGATTGGGCACAGTTTCCCCTTGACTTCTCTCATTCACACCGTTATACCCCACAGAAAGCGTGTGACTGGGGCCTGGGCCGGGGGTGAAGCCAGGAGCCTGGGTCATTAGAAAATCATAGCTTGTGAGAACTGAAAACAGACCCCAGGTAGCCATCAGCCCAGCCCAGAGCAGAGAAGCGCCTTCCCAGATACAGCTACTACATGGCCGGTGCCCACAGCACGGGCCTCCTCGCAGGCTGTCCACTGCCGTTTCCTTGCCACCAGACTGCTTCTGCCCCGAGTCATTGATTCTCCAAGCTCTTTCCCAAACTTGCCCAAGCCAGACCCTGCTGACCATTTGGTTTCTCTGCAATATAGGCGACCAGTCAGGGGATGAAAGCATCACTCAGATGCTCAAGCGGGCTCACGACTGCAGGAAGACGGCGGAGAATGCGGCCAAAGCCCTGCTCATGAAGCTGGACGGCAGCTGCGGGGGCGCCTTTGCCGTGGCCGGCTGCACTGTGCAGCCCTGGGAGAGCCTCTCCTCCAACAGCCACACCAGGTGAGCCCCTCTCGCCCCCGTGGCAGGTGGGAGCTACTGCCGGTGACAGACCGACTCTCCAGTGGCCCGCCCGGCATGGGCAAGAACAGGCATCTCCTCAGGCCTGCAGCCTGTGCCGGTCTAAGGAGGCAGAGAGCCCTCATGGGAGAGCTGGGAAGGGGCATGATCATTGGTCAACGTGAAACTGCAGCCCAGAGATAAGGGGGAGGCATGGAACCCCAGCCTACCTTTCTGCCTGCCACCCTTCCTCCCGTAGGGCCTTCTTTGCCACTGTTTAAAATTGCAGCAAAAATACATGTGACAACGTGTTTGCCAGTTCATGTCGGTGTACAACGGTCAGCACTATTCTTTTCCAGATGATGCCGCCTCTGTCAGCAGAAACCCTGTGCCCTCTAAGCCGGGGCTTCCCATTTCTCCCCTCCTGCCCATGCCTGCTGACCGCTAATCAAGCTTTGGTGTCTCTAGTTCGTATCAGTGAGATCATGTAGTATTTGTCTTCTTATGGACTGACTTACTCCCTCAGCACAATGTCTCAAGTCCTTTATGATTCCTGATTTCTAGAAAGAATTAGGGTAACGGGCTAGCCAAAGGAGCCCTGGTGCTATAGTGGCTTTGCGTCAGACCGCTAACCACAAGGTCAGTAGTTTGAAACCACCAGCTGCTCTGCAGGAGAAAGATGGTGCTTTCTACTCCCATAAAGAATTAGAGTCTCAGACACTCGCAGAGCAGTTCTACCCTGTCCTGTTGGGTCACTATGAATCGCAGGGAGTTGATGGCAGTGAGTTTGGGTTGGGCTTTGGAAAGCAGCTCAAAGGAGCCCTTGTGACACAGTGGTTAAGTACTTACCTGCTGACCAAAAGGTTGGCGGTTCAAGCCCCAGCTCTTCCATATGAGAAAGGCGTGGCCATCTATTCCTGTAAGGATTGCAGGAGCCTTGGAAAGCCTGTGGGGGCAGTTCTACTCTCTCCACATAAGATTTGCTAAGACTCAGAATTGACTCAGTGACCCTGAGTTTCTTGCTGGTTTGGGGGTTTATGAGGTAGCGGGGAATGCCCCTACGCGCCGAGGCCCATACCACTGCGTCTTATTTCCAGACTTCACTCGCCCTCTGCTCCCCTTCTGCCCTTTATCAGTGAGTCCTTCTCCACGGCAGCCTCAGCCTTTCCATCCCTCTTGTCTCACTGTGGTGCCGTATCCAGAGCACGCACTTCACAGACGCCGAAATGGGAACCTGAGTTCAAGTTCACGGTTTGTGAATCTGGGAATGGAAGTGAATACTTGTAACAGCTGAGGAGAAAGGCAATGGCATCCTTGCTAAACATAACTTGTCAGAGTCATTTGATTGTGTGTGTGTACATGTGCATGTGTGTACGTGCTGGGGCAGGGGGTGGTGTTAAAATGAAGCCTTTTCCAGTTACCCTTTTTTCCATTGAAGCCCTAAACCCACAAACGCCTTCCCCTTCTGTGCTTTCTAGACTTTGTTAGAGATCCTCCTGTGAAAACAGGGAGGGTAACTTCCCTACCCAGCCCTCCCAGCTGAGTGCAAACACCTTGGCTCACAGGTGTGTAAGTGACGTGCCTGTTCGTGTCTGCTAAAAAGACTGGACTTTGGCACCAAATGCACTGTCCACCCCATGGTGCCACGTTTGGGTGTCATGGCATGAAAACTCATTGTTGACTTGCCAATCACATGACCGGACCATGTAAGAGTAGGCTGCATTTCCTGAGCCAAAGGAAAATCATGTGTTTTCTTGGTGGCCAACACAAACTTACTGTTCCCCCTCTTTCCTGACTGGCAGGACCCAAGCCCCCCACCTCTTCACCTCAGTGCACCCACTTACCTGTCCTGGGCCCAGTGCCCCAGGAAAGAGGGAGCTGTTCCCAGTAACACACTTGGCCAGGTGCCCACACACACAAGGGAATTATTTCCTCTTGACTTCAGCAACAATTGTCTTATTCAACGAAACACAGACGATAATTTATTTTTTTTCTCAAAACCAGATTCTTCAGTTTAAATACACAAAACAGATGTTTTTCTTAATGGCTTTTCCAGATGTGTGCAATCTATAATTTCCACGTTCATGTAGACTAGGAAGGTAACCCTCACGCTGTCTGGTCTTTTTCTGCCGCATTCATGCAGCTCAGGACGAGCTTGACGGGCACTCTGTGCTGTCCCAGGAGCTGTAAAGGCAGGCAATGTGCCTGGCCTTTTGCTCCCCCTTCTACCTGCCCCCAAAATGACTTTATGGTTTTCATCGGAATCGGAGACAAACTTTGGACCAGTCATGGGCGGGGATGTTTTGTCACCATCTATTTAGCAGAGAGCTTGGTCTTGACTCTTGGTTAGAAATACAGTAAGTCCCCAGATTGCTAGCACAGACAACTCTTACTTGCCCTTTTTTTTTTTTTTTTTTTAACATTTT